TCTAACAGTTAATACAAGTAAAAAAAAAATTTTTTTTACTGCAAACAGAGAAAATAGTTATAACTATAATAAACTAAAGCTTAAACTAAGCTGTCAAAAGCTGCTGTAAGTTCAAAAAAAAAAAAATATTTGCAATTTAACAATGATAAATTGACAAAACTTAAGCAAAAAAAAAAAAAAAAAAAAAATCTAATCAAAAAAAAAAGGGGGCAAAAAGTCTGCAATTTTATCTGCCGACAACCACTAATTGTTCCTTTTCTGTTTCAAGTTTTTTTTTGATAAATGACAGACTTTCCTGTTAAGAAAATTTGATTATTTGTAAAAAACTAAATTAGAGCTTTGTTCAGAATTGTAAATAAAAAACTGTTAAAAAAATTTACTGCAAATTTTGTTATTTTCTACTCATTTTCTCTTTTTTCTTTTTTTTTTTTGCTATCTGTTTCTGTGTAACAGTGGAGATGAAAAGTTTGGGCTCAAGAAGAAAAAAAGATGAAAATGAAGTGAAAAATCTGCTAAAATCTTCATCTTAACAATTTTTAATCACTTATGCTTACAATAATTACACTCTTTCCTTCCCTTATTGTTTTTATTTTTCGATATATTATAGCAAAAGAAAATAACTTTTTTTAGCAGGAAGGAATTTTTGCATATGAGACAGTCTGTACAGAGAAACTGTTGATTATCTGTAGGTATCTGTTAGGTACTCCAATTTATTGTTTTTATTCCTGCAAAAAAAAAGGAAAGCAAAACAAATTGGTAAGCAAATTTCCAAAAAAAAAATTACTCCTTTTTTGCAATAAATAAATTTAAAAAGCAAGAAAAAAATTTTGGTAAGAATTTACCAAAAAAAAAAAGCTACAGTTTCTTTTTTCTGCTCAATGCTATTATAGTGTTTGATTACAGTTTTTAGAAGAGCATTTGTTCAGAATATGTTACACTAACGTCTTCAAAAAAACACTGAACCGTTAGTGATTACAGTACATCACAACAGTCTTAGCTATACCGATATTTTAGATTAAACTGCTTAGAGTTAAAAGAAACAAAGTCAGCTATTATGGGTAAGTTGAAAAAAATAAATAAAAGCTGATTTATTTTTGAGCACTGTTCTGTACTACTGATTTCAATAGTAGCGATGTTTTCGCTGTAACACTTTGAAATTGGAACAAAAATTTTTCCCAAAACATAGTAAAATGTTATCCATAAATTGGGGGAAAAGTAAAATAAGACAAAATATTATGCCATTAAACTTGTCACATGCTTAACACATTTTCACTTTTTTTTTTTCTAAAGAGAATATACTATAATCAGTAGAAAAATAAAAGGTTGAGTTGGGAGGTCTTGTTTTTTCAGATTTTCTTCTCAAAAGAACAATTGCTTTGAAATCTGTCAAATTACTGCAGAATTTTATTTGATTTAATAGTGTGTTGCTAAACGTTTTAATCCTACTTTTTTTTTTCTTTTTCAGCTTCTTAATGCTAACATTTTTGAAAATCTCAACTTTTTTTTTTTTTTTGCAGATCTTTTTTTTTTCGATATTGAAACAGCACACATTATAGCCAACTTCAAACAGCTTTGAAAAAAAACTTATGAATTAAAAATTTATTTTTATGCTTTCTTGTTTTTTTTTTTTAATGAACTAACCAGCTTAAATTTATGCTTGAACATTTGTTCTTAACAGATCTATACGAATTTTTTTGTGTGATTTATTTTCTGAGTTTTTTTTTGGGTACATTACTGAAACCATTTTAAAGAGGCATCAAAAGTTTTTGGATGTTGAATAATCTTTTTTTTTGGAACAGTTGATCTAAATAATTATACTTCAGACATAGAGGCAATCCTTTTCTTTTATGCT